TCGTTTTTCCTTTCCCCCCCAGAAGACGTAAACTGTCTGAAGACATAAAATAAAGCAGGTTTATTTTTTTTTTTTTTTTTTTTGTTTCTCCTCGGCAGGCAAAGACCAGGTTGAATCCTGGGAGATGAAGGATGCTGGAATTAAAATCTAATCAATAATTTCTAATATTTATTTTTTTGCTTACTAGTTAAAAAAAAAGAAGAAAACTTTGTTGGACTAAAACCAATATCTGAACCAATTTTTTTTTTTTTGCATACAATTCCAAGTACTTTTGGGGGAACGTCTCTGCCAGCTTTGCACGTCTAGAGACTAAACGTTTTGTCCAGCCTAAGCTCAATCTGCACTGAGAGCTTCGATCATCTACCAGGTTTACTTCCGTCATTGCCCTGTGTTTAGTTTAATCCGTTGTTGCGTTTACTCTAACCAGATTCCTGTTCACTGCTGGAGCGACTTTGGCTCCTCTAACACACACCGGGCGTGTTTTCGTGAAGAGCCGACAGAGCAGAGCAGATTGCTGGACGTTGGCTCTGTATGAGGTTTTATGAAGAGCTTTATTCCTCCTGACTTGAACAAGTTTGGAAAGTGTGGGTTGTTGAACAGAACAGGATGAATTTGTACGTTTCATCAGACTGTGATGGTGCCACTGTGCGATACCCTTCGGTTGTTCTGTGATCCGGAGTCCCTGAGGGCCTCTTATCTGCTTCTCCTATTAATGATCTTCCTGCTGTCAGCGTGGATCGACGGCCTTGTCGATGCCATAATATTTAATTTTTTTCTAACTGCAGAAGCAGAATTGAACACGAATGTTTCTTTTCCACTTTACAAACTGGGCCTACTTTGATGTTGTCAGGGATATAAAATTGGAAACTATTAATTGGGTTAATCACCATGAGTGGATTATAGGAATAATTGTCAACTGATTTAGTAATCTATTGATTGTTAATTGGAGTATTCAGCCTGGAGAAAAAGGCTTATTGCTAAAAGAACACATTCAGAGCAGAAATAATGCCAAAACTGTTTAGAAATGTGTACATTTTATATTTAAGATAAAAAATATGTGCCAGTTATTGTATTAGATTAATTGATTAATCATCAGTCTAATTGACTGAATAATCAATAACTTTAGTTGTAGCCCAGAAAATCTCAATAAAACGCATCAAAATTTATGATTTCAAAGTAACAAAAATGTGAAAAAACATTCGAGGGGCGTAAAAACATTTTTGGCGAGGAGGTGCAAAGAGCAGGAGGCTGTAAGCAACGAGGCCGAGGAGAAAAATAAAAGGATGCAAAAGTATCCCAGGAGGAACCTTCCGACTTCAGTCTCGCCCCAGCGAATGTGCTGACAGGGTCTGTCTGCGGCGAAGACGGGAGAGCAAGTGTCACACAGTCGGATAAAGCGAAACTGGCACCGCGTAATCCATAACACTCGGGTTTTACAAACAATGAATTCAGATTTACAAGCCAGCTCGAGCATCGAGAACGTGGAATCGTCGACTTTCTGACTTTAACACGGTTTGCTCCAGAGCAAACGGATCCGCATTAAAGCAGGTTCATCTGCCAGAGGAAAAGGTGTCCGATCAAAGATTTCACAGCGCAGATTTATCAGTCACCGGCGCCTCCGTTTTGACCTTTCGCTCGCGAAGTCAGACTAATCCGCGGTTTTTGCTGGCGGTTTGCAGATGCGGCATTCGATCACGGCCCTTTCCTCCTCGAACGCACACACACACACGACTCAGGTGGAAGAGTTGCAAGACTAAGCTGTAAATCAGAGTCCAATAAAAGGCTAGTTATTGATTGTTTCCCGGTGCTAAAGCACGATTATAAAAACGTCCACGCCTCCACACGGCCCCTGCCACATTATCAGATTTTATGTGAAGCCCCCCGGTTTAGTCTGAGTGGCCGTCTGGGACGGATGTGCAAAGACAACAGGAGAAAAGGAAGGAGATATGGACGAATGAACTGGGGAAATGAATGGGTTTTTATTCTTTTTTATGGTTCCATCGTTGGTGTGTGTTCAGGCTCGCTGTCCACAACTGGAAAGATTTGTCCTCAGAAAAAGTTTGCCGACGCAGCGACGGTGAGTCACTGCATGCAAATAGACACCAAACTCAGTGGCCAGAATCAAGGTGTACCGGTTCAAAAATGTAACGGATTCAAAACCATTTAAATATAACGAGATGGTGTGCAGGTCAGTTTAATGAGATGCCAAAAAGAAAAAAAGAACACCACCATCCAAGAGCCAAAACTTATCAAAAAACTTTTTTTTTTCTTTTTCAAAGTTGCTGTGTTTCCATTTCAGTTTCAAAATGTGAAATTGCTCGATTATATAATCAACGGAAACGCCACTGGTGTTGCTTCACACTGCTGATCAGTTAATTAAAAGAAGGCTACTGAACCTTTCCCTTGAATTCAGGAGTCAAAATTTGGATATTTGCTTTTGAAAAGTAAAGGAGAGCCTTGAAATAAAATCACACACACTCAGATATTCCTGAGACGCTGTAAGGCTCGTAGCTTCCCACACATTGCAAATACAAATATCCAATCAGTTCTTCATAATTGTGACACTGCACGCAGAGATAACGAGACGACAAGAGGTGCAGGTGATGTCGAACTGCAATCACAGACATCCTCATGTGAAGTGTTGTAATTGTGATGCATCGTTTGCAGTATTTGCTGAAATGTAACGTTTTAATAGTCCCTGCTCTATCTGTGGCTCGCAGTGAGTCGTGGGGACATTACGTAACGGGACGGAAAGAAAAGTTTCCTCAAAATGAGAGTTAATCATGAATGCAGTCATCGCATTTTCAGAAATAGCGTCGCAGTGAAACATCGTCCTGAAACTGTGCAGCCCCAGCGGAGACGACTGTCGTTTCATATTTGCTGTCTTTACTCAAGAGCCATGCAGGCTAATGGTTTGGGTTATTTTTGTACATATGTATGTGTGTGTGTGTCTGTGTGTATTCATTCCAATCGTGCCAAATCTCCTGCGAGCTCCGCGATATCATGGAAATGTTCTTGCGAAATCTGCGACGCCGAATTCCGAGTTTTTCTCGCATTGCGAATCCCTGTCTGTCTCCACACACGTGGCAGCAAAGAAAACTTTATGTTAATGCGGTCTGGCAAACAGCAACTACATTGGCTTGTCAGATGTGTAGGCAGGCATTATTGAAACCTCACTGAGGAGTGTCCAGTCATGTCAGGAGACGTGCACGCTGATGGATATCTGACATTTTGATTCTCGCGTGTGCGTCTGGAGCGCTGGGCGACACCCGGAAAGCAGCAATGTGATGAACGAGACCTGGCAACCTTTTGACTCGCTCCACGCCCTTTAAGTACAGCTACGTGAAGGGCTTCGTCTGAATCAACGTTTATCTGACAGGATTTGTGACCGACCAGCTGGTTAATCAGAAATCAAAAGTGTTATGAAAGATGGCTTTCTCTTGTCCGAGCTTGCCTCTCTCTCTCTCTCTCTCTCTCTCTTTTTTTTTTTCTTGTGCAAAAGTGTGCATCGTCTTCTCCTGTTATGTGTTTTGAAGAGAAATTATACATGGCTTTTAAATACTACAAATTTGAACAACTTAGCATGGTTGATAATGAGCCACTTTAAGTAGTTTCTCAGCAGAGAAACCTTTTCCTGTAAAGTTGTACGTACTGAAATTTCTGCCTGTTCTTCTCAGCAACATAGATGAATTTAGATCATTTGTGAAGATTAATTTTCAAGTTTTCCTTCAAATTTCTTTAGTTCTATATTAGCTGGGACATTCTAGCACAAGATATCCTTTAATCATTGAATTATGGATCTGTCTTTCTGTTTCATGTGTCCAGCGTTGTCCTGTATCTTAACCCCATCCATCGTCCAATCAACTCTGACCAGTTTCTTTATCCCTTCTAAAGAAAAGTGTCTTTTTAGCATGATGCTGCCACCACCATGTTTCACCGTATAGATGCTGAATTTGATGACATAACCCTTTAAAATAAGTTGAGCTTTGGTCTCATCTGAACCAGAGCACCTTTATCCACAGGTTTTATGTTGTCTCCTCTTTTTAAATTTTAAACCAGGACGTATTTAGGCTTCTTACGACAATCGTTTCCTTCTGTCCCCTCTTCCATTAATTTTCCGAATGCATCTGCTGTCCTGGAAACGGATTATCCCACCCGAGCTGTGGATGTCAGCTGCTCCTCCAGAGTCGCCCTGAACCTCTTTGCAGCATTTCTGATTAATACCGTCCTCGTCGCTTCTACCGGTGCTTCTGCAACGCACTGAAAGCATAACGTTGTGATGATAAAACTTGACCTCCCCAGAAAAAGAAATAAAATGTGTACCATTGTGAGGGCATAAATAGAAAGATGTTCAGAGTTTAAAATCCCCATTGTGCTGGCGGAAACACGATTGTTGCCGTGTCGAAAGGTCTGCCCGGCCTGCCTGTGAATCGTCCTACCTGTCTGCGTGGCTCCATTTTTAATTAACGCAGCGCAATGATTAAAGTTTTGACTTAATTATCTTTATCTTTTCTCCCAGGGTGTTCGAGTCTCCGCGGGAACCTGAATGAGACGCTTCGCGAGGGAGGAGACGGGGAGAGAGAGAAGAAAAACAGCTCGCCGAGGCTTTGTGAGATAGACGGAGATATCGGACCGCATTGACGAAAGAGGAGGAAGTGATTGACACCTGCCCTCCAGCTCAGCGTGAAGGGCAAAGGAGGGGAGAGCGAGGGGAGGGGGGGATGAGGTGAAAACAAAAGAGAATGAAGACAGTCAGAAAACAAGAGCTGCCTTATTCCATCCCCCGTGCGAATTAGAACAACAAGACAAGATGATTGCAAGGAATCTTCTCCTGTTGGTGTTCCTGTCCCTTTGGGAGGTCCTTTTGGGAGGGGCCTCGGCGAGCAAGGTGTTACGCAGGAGAGGGGCGGCCGGGTTGCACATGGCGAGGCGAGGGGATAGCAAACCTGCAGACCAATGGGACGACGGCGAGGATTCAAACGCGATGCCCATGGTCACTTTGAGGAACCTGATAAATCGCGAGCAGCTGAGCGACTCCAGGTTTCCTCACGCCAAAATGGTTTTGAGCAACAAAGAGAGGCAATCCCTCAAGCCTAAGCGCGAGGTCGACTCCGTCAGTAGAAAAGACGGGACGCCGGCTGCGTTGTCCAGCAGCAAGGCGTCAAACCTGGAGGTAAGGAGAGTTAAAAACGGCACGAGAAGCGCAGAGACTTCCAACACGGTGCGGTCGGAGAAATCCTTCGTCCATCACAAGGCGGAATTGCATTCCAATAAAACCAGGGCCAAATCCGGCTCCAGGTCCAGGAGCAGGCCCGATTTGAGCGCCCACACCACAGGCATGCCCGGGAAAGGGTTCACCGTCGATTCAAGCCGAAAGCTCAACCTCACCGGGAGTTACGGCGTGCTGAAGCTGCTGTCGAAAGAGAACTTAGTCAGGATCGTCAATTCCCAAATGCAGAAAGTTCCCGGCCTCGGCTTTCCGAGCAAGGGCAGCCGGAGCAGGAAGAGAGACTTGATTGACGTTAATCACGAGCCATTAGAGACTCAGAGGGAGCAGAGACAAGATATGGCTGCCATTCAGCCTCACGCTGGATTCGATAATCAGACCGCATTTCCATATGCGAGCTCGGTTACCAGCCCAGATCTCTACCCCCGCCAGAACACCGCTACTCATATTAATCTGCCGAGCGACGCCAAGCCGGCTTTAAGGAAAGGGCAAGACAGCTTGGGAGCACCGAGCTCCGACGGCGGTGATAACAAGAGCAAACACCTCACTCGTTCCCTGTCGACACCTCGCAGCGAGGTCGGCCCCGGCCCCGAGAAAGAGGCGATAATCAGCCAAACGGAGCCGCCGTTTGCATCGACGAAGCGTCTCCCTGTGTATGTTCTCCCAGAAACAAACGATTCTCCCCCGTCTGTGCTGACGATGCAGCCCCTGGGAGCAAGAGGAGGAAGCAGAGCAGCAGATTCCCGCAGAGACCCATTAACGGAGTCGGCTCGCACCGCTAGAACCGATCCCGGCACGGCGAAGTTTCTCACAGATGAAGACCACAAACTTGTCAACAGCAGCCATGTCCTGAGGCTCCAGCCCGCTCCCAAGTGGAGCCGCGGCGCAAAAGAAGCCGAAGTCCAAGCCACTGACCCGGTAAATGGAAATGGCCTCGTGTTCGAAGAAGCGTCGGAGTCGGACTTGGAGCGGGGGGCGCAGCGGCCTGTGGAGGGGAGGCGGTCACGCTCTCGCAGCAGGAGGAGCTGGATCTGGAACCAGTTCTTTGTGATCGAAGAATACGCCGGCCCAGAACCTGTGCTCATTGGACGGGTAAGTAAAAAAGAAAGAAAAAAAAAAACTCTACCTGTTCTGATGTAGAAGCTTTGGACGTTTTTACAAAAAAAAAAAAAGAAAAAGAAAATGTGTGAAATAAGGTTTTCATCTGGGATTGCCCTGTACTTAGCTTCATCCATCTTCCTAGCAGCTCCTACCAGCCTCCCTGTCCCTGCTGGAGAAGAAAATCCCCACGGCAACACAATCTTTCACTGAGTGGATAGTGTGTTTAGGGTGATGTGCGGCGTTAGTCTTCCTGACACATGCAGCATTTGCATGTAGGATACATTTATCGTGACCCTTACATGGCTTTTGTCCTGCCAAACATGCAGAACGTCCCCTGCACATATAACAGCGCTGTTTTTGACACATTTTCCCATCTGAAAAGTGAATCTCTGGAGCTCTTCCAGAGTTTTCTATTTCTAATTAAAGGTGCAGTATGTTGTTATAAAAACTTTCATGATATTGTGACAGTATAACATGAAACAGATTATTTGTGAAAAAGTTGAGCTCCTCTGCCTCCTTTCTATGGCTCCACTGCCATCTGCAGTCAGATTTAACCAATCAGAACCAGGAGGCGGGTCTTAGTGCTGTTAATCACGCTTGTGTACATGCTGCTGCTGTGCTAATGGAGGAGAAACAACTTAGTGTTACAGAAAAACTGTTAATCCGCCATCATTGGCTAGTTAGCATATACATGCTAACTAGCCTAGAGAAAGCAAGGGGGGAGGGTGGGGGGATTATCTGTCTCATATTTTACTCTCCTGATATAGTGACAGTTTTAGCAAATCTGAAAAATGATAATTTTGTCACACAAGTTACCTACTACAGCACCAAGGCTCTGCTAATTTAATCCTGGACTTTGACTGTGTATTCTAGCACATGAATAATCAATCAATCAATCAATCAATTGCTACTCTATAGATAAGGCTTGTCCAAATGGAGGGCAAACCTCCCCAGGCGTTTACAGCCTCTACCAGGTTTATCCTTTGGGATTCCACTTTACCATCTTTGCATTAACTCTGACCAGCTTCCCTGCCCATGCCTCTGACATGGATCCCTCCAGCACAGTTTGCTGCTGGACCCAAAGCTCTTTGTAATTAGTGAAAATGTGCTGAAGCAAAAACCAAAAAAAAGAAAAAAAAAGAAAAAAGCTTTGTTCACCTTTTATTGCTCAGATGCTGCGAACAATTTTCTGAATATTTTATGAAATTCCCAGGCACTCGAGTATTTCACGTAGCTTATTTTAACCTCAGGTGATCATCTCCGTTGCACTCCTTACACCGAAGGTGATTAGTGTAGTATAATCCCAGAGTCACGCTTCAAGTTTTTTTTTTGTGTGTGTGTGCGCGTCGCCATAACCCTGCAATTGGAATTGATTTAAATTCCTCGGCTGCGACGCGGCGCCTTCCAGGTAGTCGTAAAATGTTCGATGCATCAATGATCCACTGAGGCTCAGCAAAAGCCCCAGATTCTCTTTTGCCCAAGATGCTAGACATGATCAGCACCAATCTGCACACACCAATGGGAATTGACATGTCCAGCTGAATTAATAGGTTGGTTTTTTTGTTTCTCCCCATCCTCCACCATTGATCCTCTCTCCGAGGCAGAGAAGTCAGAGTGTTGCCTCATGCTCCTGTAGGTCGGACCTGTCGGCTCTCTCTCCCTGTCGGTCTGCAAGGTCCTGCTTATGATGTTTTATTCAGATTGATTTACGCTCCTCAGTTTGACGGCGTTCTCCTGCCGCGCTCTTCCTTTGCCGGACGCGCACGGGGCCGTGGTCCTGCGGCTCTGCAATTTATTACACTCATTGACCGCGCTTGTCTCACCACCCGGCTCCACGCCGCCACACATTCTCTCCTCTTTCCAAAGAATTACGAGCTTCAGGGAGGTCACGTCGACTGGACAGAAGGTGTCTCGAAAGCCGGGCGCTGTAATGGCCGGCCTCCCTGTCCCAGGCATGCACCAACTGTCTCCTGAACCCAGCTGCTGTAGATGAGCTAATTTATAAGCCTGTGTGGCCAGTTTGCTCAGCAAATGAATAGTAATGATCCCTGTGTGACTGCTGCGGGCTGCAGAAAGCCACAGAGAGCGAGAAGTGTGTTTGTGTAAGTGTTAGTGCTTTGAGTCGGGCTGCTGTTTATGAGCTTTCCAGCACAGTGGGACGCGTCTCGCACTTTCGTAGACAAAAAGGCATAAATTGCTTTCGTATTTTTAGGTCCTGGTTCCCTCTTGCCCACATACGGATGCGACCTGAATTATCCAGCCTCCCTGCCGTTTAGCTAACATTCAATTTGGCTTCTTTTGCGCCTTGACTGATAAAGGTCTGAGCTGGGGGTGTGAAGAAATCTCATGCTAACTCGATCTCGACAAAATATTTAGTTTTGGTCAAACTGAAGTTTTTCCTACTCGCCTGTTTGAATAAGTCTAAGTCATTATTATGAGTCCTTCATATGAAGACCTGTGCTGTAAGCTTGACACCCTGTATCTGTGCTTGAGACTCTTATTTTGAATTGAAACAGGAAGCAGTTGTTGAGTTAAACCGATGGCTTGATTAAATAAAGACTTCTGGCCAGAACGACCAACACTACTACTGTCTTGAAGGATGTATTATATATTTTTCAGGCACATAGCACCATTTTATTGCACAATATAGGAACTATTTTACTTTGATCAAATAGACTTCCAATTTATTATAAACTGTGGAATAGAAATTTTCTGTTGTGGCTAGCCAAACCACAAATTTTGTTTTAACGACGGTTTGCCGTTACCCAGGTAATGCTACTCTCAAAATGCTTCCTTATATATTTCCTGTCACTCTGTTGCTGCTGGTACGTCTTACTGAGTATCCAAAATGGTGGCTGATAAACGTTGTAGGTAAATGTAGCCGGTTGTTGTCCACCAAGCTGTTTCCAAACCTCCGAGCTTCTGCCTCACAGAGCGACCCGCTCAGCTCCTTCAGACTAGCCAACAGCAATTAGCAAATGCCTGGTGGATGTGTGCATCAGCTGAGCTCATTATACCAGCTGCGTCTCATTGCAGCACTGGTAAAAACCTTGTTGAAAGGTCAAAAGTGGAGCGATGTTGTGGTGACTTCCTGAAGGCGGAATTTCATAAAAGGGCGGCATTTTTAAAGAGACGCAATTTCAAGGCGCTAATTTTGTGAAGTTGAATGTCTTAAGTCATATTTGGTATATCATTTTTATAACGACTGAAGGTACCAGAGTTGCTATAAAATGACATTGTCCCTATAAGATCAATCAATTCCTTATTCTGTCTGCACAAACAAAGAGCGGGAGCATTTTTACTTTGTTTCAGCCATTAAAACCTGCTTTAAAATAAGAAAAAAAGCATATAAACTACCACTTATATAGTCGCTAACCCTGGATTGGTATGTAGTACACTCATTAAAGATGACTTCCTAAATAGTTTTTGACTTCGGAAGCCTTCGCTCTATTCGCGACAACAAAACAACTTCAAGTTTTCCCAGGAGCGTTGCCGTGTTCCCACCTCGCTTCGTCCTCAGGAGCCCCGACGTCGTGTACCGCTCTGCCTCGTTTCAGCAGCCAGACGCAAAACTGTGTAGCCTGACCAGAATGCAGTGATGTAGTGGGGCTCGGAGAAGACGTTGGAGCCAGCAGTCCAGCTTACAGATGGCATTGTGTGTAAAGCCATTAGTGCCAATCTGCTGTGTCAAGCAGGTATCGGTGCCAGCACATTGTAGGGTACTCAAGGAGGGAACCGCGCCAGGCCACACACATGTGTGAGCGACGGCGTCGACACTTGGGAGAGTTCCCAGACCTCCGCTGTGACGACGTGTTTTCATGCGTGCCCTCGCTTAGAGATGTGTCCGATTAGTACCTCGCCGTAGCGCGCAGTGACAGCACACATGAATAATGCTCTTATAGACCTTAATACGCTTATGAATTTTTAATCTTCAGCTCTGCTGTAGTGTAGGCTCTATAGTTGGAGAAATAATCAATGTAAACATTCTCCAGTGTTTCTTTCTTTCTTTTTTTTTTCCCCCCCTTTCACCGTTGGAGCCTTGATTGTGCTTTAATGGAGAGAGTTACAGCGACGGCGTTCTGATCCCAGCTGCACCGCGCAGGCCAGAACGCCGCCATCTGGCCAGATAGAGCCCGGGTCCAAACCAGTTCAGTCAACGGCAAACGCGGTCGCCCGAGAGTCGGGATGCATTTTTCACCTGAACTCGGCTGTCTGGTCTCGGATACTGAGCAAGGACGGTGTTCATATTTTCTTTTTTTTTATCTTTTATCGCCACCATTCTGTTGCGTGTCTTAATCAGCCTTATTGTTTGTTTTTCCAGTCTGAATAAATCTCCACTAAAGCTGGAAACAAGAGCCAAGGCTCTTATCTGGTGATGGCAGTGGGAGACAAATAATCTTTTTGTTAAACTGATAATGAATTATGGGGTCAAATACGGGGAAAAGCAGGCGGTTGAATTTCCAGTAGCTGTGAATGGGGTTTTTTTTCGTCTTTTTTCTGTGAAACAAATAGAGAGAAAAAGAGTAAATCTAAAAAGAACCAGTCAATAAAGAAAACCGAGAAAGTAGCCCTTGAATTTTTTTTTTTATCTCTTTGAGATCTGAGTCTTTTTTTGTAAACGACTTGTTCAGGATCAGAAGTCACTAAAAGGAAAAAAATAGTGAGAAACCTTTTAGCATTAACATATCTGAGTTTTTCCCCTATCAATGTTCGCTCTTTGTCTCTCGCCTGCACACGCACAAAGACGCAGATCACACCCGATACACACGCACGCACACACACACACACACGTTGCTGCGCTGCTATACGCTCTCATGCTGGAGTGTCACTGCCCCATGATAATTGTGAATTTAATTGATGCTGTCACATGGCCTGTAATGGGGTTTCAAGTGATTGCAGAGGCTGTGTGAAAGCAACAAAAAAAATTTTTGAGAAGAAAAGGCGCCTCAGCAGAGCAGGGATTAAAAGAAAAAAAGCCTTTCTGATTAGCTTTTCTTCTCCCGTTACTCTTCTCTTGAAATGCAAACTCCCCAGCAGCTCATGTGGGGAGGAAACGTGACATGTAACAGTTTCTTCCTCTCAGTGAGGCGACTCCATCTTGGCCTGTGTCACCTTAAAAGCAGCTTCGGTGCATGAGCTACGTAGCCGTGCTAGCAAATGTGCAAATGTAGCGGCAACGCAACAGGAAACAGACTTGGGCTATTTTTGTAATTAGCATATCATTAACATCACAATGCATATTCATAACACATTGTGTAATGTGGTGGCATAATAGTAACTATATCTCAACACAAGCGTGGGCTGGTGTGTAAAAATACTTGAAACTTGTGTCAAGTGAATGCAACCTTAATATTTTCTAATAAACAACCAACATGGCCAGTGTTTTAGTCGGCAGCCATTCTACCCAGAGGTGTTTGCAAATTGCTGTGATCCATCATGTTGTTAACAAGCATCAATGTAGTGACTTGTGATTATTATTATTATTTTTATTATTAAAAAATACTTCCATTTCTATTCATTAGTGTTTCTAGATTAACTAATCTATCTTTTTTGCCATCGTGTGCTTTCACTTTATGTTAAAAGTGATGGCATAGTGTTACGCTATCACTTTATATAGTTGGAGCATAACAAGCTAATTCTAGCAGATTAATTTGTTGGGCTAACTGGACTGGGAGCCAGCCCACAGACAAGCCACTTAATGCCAAATATACCCTCAAACATGTGTAATTTTAGAGTGCATTCACATCAACCCTGTTTAGTCTGCTTTAGTCGAACTCTAGTTATTTATGCTTAACGTTTACAATATGCAAATGTCTGTCCTACAAAATGCACGTCTTACTCTTGTCTCAGGATCTATGCAGAAGAACAAATAACCCACTTACTGCCCAACGTGTTATTGATAACTCTGGTTCTTCAGCGCCTCAACCCCTCTGGGTGCAATCTGCACAACATTGTGAAAACACTTGCAGAAAATCATTAGTGAGACGCAGGAGGAGAGTGTCACAGGAAGGTAAAGCGTGTTGTCTCGTTGAAGCCCTTCCTGCAGTGGTTGGGCGACGACGTTTAGGCGCATCACGCAGCTGCCGTTTCCGTCGGTGTTTCTCGTGCTACGTCTGTGGAGGCACAGACGTTTATGGCTGGCATGTATCGACTATAGCTGCATACTTGCATTCGTGCCTCTCTTTACAGCCTCACGTTCAGCTGTCGCTACCAAATCGTACTCAACGGAAACGGCGTGTGCTAAGATTTAAACGAAACCGGCTGAGGTTTAGTGAACAAACTGCAACGCTATTCTGACACCTTTGTCATCTTTTTCAAACTGAAATTGCTCATCTTGAGTATTAGACTGCTATTAGACAAAAAAAAAAAAAAAACAGCATTTTTTTTAATTGTCAGTGCTGCAAACATAAATTATTTGAAAAAACTTTACACAGTCAATTTGGGATACTTGCAGGGGCGGAGGAGGAAAACCCCATCCTAACCCAATCTGTGTTTGCTCCACATGGCTTTCTGTGTGCTACAGTAACATTTCTGAATGCAGCAGGGCAGCGTGTTCTGTAGCAGTCCCTCAGACCCATGTGGATATATTGTTCACTGTGCCGTGGTCTCTCATGTATTTCCTCCTGAGGGCTGGAAGGTCGCATGCATCAAACAGAAGCTTTCACTGTTACCCTTTACACGCTGAGATTTCCCCCGACTCCCTGGATATTTTTATAAAACAGCTAACTGTGGATGTCGAAAGACCTAAATTATTTGTGGTTTTCCTTTGAGAAATTCTTCTTTAACCAAGGGATGAAACTGGGCTGAGAGAGGTGGATTGCCACCAGTCCTTTGTTAAAGGGTTGAGACTTTGGTAGATGCTCTTTTGATACCCAATCCGTAGTCACTGATCAGCGTTTTTTTGACTGGGAATTTGATCGATTGTGGATTGATGGACGGTTCGAACGTCCTTCTCCTCTCTCTGCTCTTCTGTTTCCGTGAATCCTCCTTTTCAACTCTGCTGGTATTTGGGGTCACAAGTATTAAAGACAACACAACACTTCTATCAAAAGTAAAATTGCAATTGCGTTATATTAAAAAAAAAAAAATAACCCCCCCATTGGATATTTTGATTGTTTTTTTTTTTTTTTTTGGAGAATTTGTTTTGAAAAGATACACTTGTGTACCATTTACAATAACAGTACAATTTCTTCTTCAGTTATCGGGCTTTTTTGTTGTTTTTGTTTAAATTCCCTTCATCTTCAGCAGATCTAACACTAAGCAGCCCACACAGCCATTCTTCACCTGCATCTACCTAATGAGGTCAGTTTTTGTTTAGCAGGGTCAAACCAGTGCTTTGATGTTACCAGTTCAACTACGTTTTGCTACTAATAAATGTAGAAATGTTTCATGCATCCTATCGATCCTTTGACCCACACATACAAAAAAAAACGTACCATTTTTATTATCGCCTGTGCTGAAGTCAAACAATTTCCAGCTGCAAACTTCTGCTTTCCAATAATGTGACTGGAAGCTGCGCTAACCATACAAACAGCTCCAAGTTCAAATGACACACCGAAAATACGTAAATACCGCACAGCGTCAAAACTAAAAAGGGCATCAAAAAACACCAAAACCTTGTAAATATGGCTTCAAAGTGTGAACCCCCCCCCACCCCCCCCAGCCACCCCGGATTAAACGGGGGCTTAAGAAACTGCAGGAAAAAGAGAGCCGCAAAGAAAGGGGGGGGGGGGGGGGGGGAGAGAAAACCCTGTATGATGGTGCCAATAGGTGGGCCAAACTGA